CCCCGCGTCGAATGAAAAAAGCCCTCTCGAGTCCCATTAATAATGACTTAATACCATATATTCGAAATGGCCCGATAGACCAGATCGATCCAAGTCTCCGAAAATCCAAATCGGCGCAGTACCGACATCAAGAAATACCAAGAGACCCGATCATAGGCCTTCATCATGTCCAGCTTCAGAATGACATCTTCATTATCCACCCGCATCCCGTGACACATCTCCTGGGCCAAAAGAATATTATCTGTGATAGAGCGCCCTGCCACAAACCCACTCTGATGCGGGGAAAGCAGCCGAGGAAGCACAGAAGCCAAGCGAACAACCATAATCTTCGTGATGATCTTCTTGCAGTAATTACACAAACTGATGGGTCTAAAGTCCGCGAAGGTCACAGGATTGGGCTTCTTTGGCAACAGAACAATAGAAGTGTGCGTGAGAGAACGAGTCAGATCGTGGCCCAAGAAAAAAGCCTGCACCATTGCCAATAAATCTATGCAAATGATCGTCCAAGCGGCCTTATAGAAGGCCCCAGTATAGCCATCAGGTCCCGCTGCACTCCTAGAATCCATAGCAAAGACCGCAGTCTTGACCTCCTCCAACTCCGGAACAGCGCATAGCCGGTCATTATCCTTATCAGTGACCAGCCGTGGAATCATGTCTAAGGCCGACGATGTAACACTAGGATCAGCACTGAACATAGCCTGGAAAAAGGCAACCGCCTGAGTCGCAATCGCAGCTCTCTCCGTGACCCACTGCCCACGATCATCCTGTATGCGGTGAATGTAAAGCTTCCGCCGGCGATCCTTCACAACAGAGTGAAAGTACCCCGAGTTCCTCTCCCCGTCCGTCACCCATTTCGCATGGGCCTTCTGACGCCAAAACTCATCCTCGATATGATACTGGCGCTTCAAAAGTGCAGAGCGCCGCTTGAACTCGATATAAGTCTCATCTGATGAATCTGTCTGCAGCTGCAGCTCAATATCCCGAACATCCTGCTCAAGCACCTTAAGCCTGTCAAAGATGTGACCGAAGGTGTCTCGGTTCCATCTCTTCAAGCTATGTGCCAGACGCTTGAGCTTAGCACCAAATACGAACATGGGACTGCCAGCAATATCTTCCCGCCAAGAGTCTGCCACCACTCTCTGAAAATCCTCGTGCTCTGTCCAGACATTAAGGAAGGTGAAAGGTCATGCAGGAGGACGCTCATGAGGCTTACACTCCACCAACAGTGGAGCATGATCAGATCCAACTCTATCCAAATGATGCACCAAACAAGAAAACATATCCATCCATGGCCGGTTAAAAAGCAATCGGTCAATCCGGCTCCGAATCTCCACGCCACCCACTCGATTGTTGAACCAGGTATAATCCTCCCCAGTGAAAGGAGAATCAACCAGTTCACAATCCTCAACGCATTCAACAAAAGGCCGATATTTGACAGAAGCATACAGCCGGCCTCCTTTCTTCTCTGAGGGGTCGAGTAGACAGTTGAAATCACCCACCACCCCCCATGCCATGTCAGCCGGGAGAGCGGCATGTGTCTCTCTAAGATATTCCCACAACGGCTCCTTGTCCCTGTACTTACATTTAGCATAAACAACTGATAACCAAAGAGGGTTAGGAAAAGAAGGATGAGAGAAAGAAAAGGTCAGTGACTGTGCAAAATGAGAAATAAAATGAATGGACGGTGCAATGTCAAAGTTCCAAAAGAGCCAGATTTGGTCAGCAGCACCACACCTAGCTCCCGTGAAACCCAACAGCGTCCTAAAGTAGTCAATCTCCGAGGGTGCCTTCATAGGCTCCAAGATACCTAATAACACTGGAGTGTGGCGTTTCAGTAAAATTCGAAGCTTAGAAAGGACACTCTGTGAGGTGATGCTCCTCACGTTCCAAACTAAGAACCGCATCATCATTGGGAACGCGAAGAAGTGGAACGGGTGACTCTGCGTGGAGCAGGAATCACCCCCGTCTTATGCTCAGTTGCTTTTCGGGTGTTCTTGGCCGACTTGCCCCTAGTAGTTGGCGCCTCCCTTGCAGGGGAAAGGCCACTCGCTGCAAGATCCCGGGCAATGTCAGTCGGATCCTCAAAATGATCGCCTGTGGACCCGTCACTAGTCTGCGAGCTACACTCGTCATCCTCCTTTCTCATCGAATTGGAAGGAATGGAAGATGCAGCTGTATTAAAGGCACAGACATCATGACTGTCTCCAGGCATCTCCCCCAAAGCATCAAAAGTATTAGACATAGCAAGATCCAGCTCTGGGGGTTGAGGATCGGGAACATGTACAATAGGAGGATAAGAAGTAGTAGAGAGAGGAAGAGAAGCAATCACGGAACCTTGCTCAACTCCGGCAGGAGGAACAGATGGCTCTACAGTCTGAGACGCCGACTGCTCAACCACAACAACAGGTGTGGGAGGAGTGGCGTTAACAGTAGAAGGGACTAAACTAACATCAGGAATAACAACATTCGGGGAGGGATGCGAGGAGGTGGGCACAAAGACCTGCAAGCTGGATGAGGGTCCCTCCCCCTTACCTAAACCATCGACATCCACGACCTCAATAGGTCTGGATCCTTTCGCAGTCTTTTCTCTCCAAACATATTGTGACTCCTCCCGATGGGAGCCACCTGCACCTGTACCTGCATCATCAATAGCAATACCTTTCCCCTCCCTTTGACGCCTGACCCGGCTCCTACTCCGCCTCCATCGAGAAGGCTGGGTAGTCGTGGGTGCAGTCATTGAAGGTTGGGGAACAACAATATTCCACTGTTCAGGCTGACTAGGAGTCAAAGTATTACACGTAGAATTATCATGACCCTGCTTATAACAAGCTGTGCAATACTTTGGGATGCGCTCATATTCCACAGGCTGGAACATGCCCACATCCTCCTCACCCGGTGCATCAGAAAAACCAATCCAAATTTGTTCAATAATAGGCTTCAACAAATCAATCTCCACCCTAGCCTTAGCCACATTGGGACGTGAGAAATTGGACGTAGCAACGTCCACTTTCAAGCACCTCCCAATGGGCTTACAAAGCTGATGAATGGCACTTTCATTAAATAAATCAGCCCTCAAATTAGGAAAAGTCACCCATACCGGAGCAATGGAAGATTCAGTTTTTACGTTAAACTCCTGAGACCACCTAAATAATCTCATGGGGTATTGACCGTTAAACTGAATTTGCCCTTGCATAAAGATGTCATCACAATCCCGTGGGTGAGTGAAAAGAAGCATTACATGACGCGGGTCCCTAAGACTAATCTGTACCGATTCCCGGAGAAGGAATTGTTCAGCAAACATCTTTCTCAATATAGATATCTCAGGACGACCATGTGAAAATTTACCAACAAGAAGAAAATTATCTAATTGAGAAAGTTGCTGCATTTCTGACTTTTTAAAAACAACTCCGGGAGTACCCCTATGAACTGTGGGAATTTTATCCTCAACAACAACATTAGGTAAAATAGCAGATGGGCGAGAAGCAATAGCCCTTAATGAAATACCTGAGGTGGACGCTCCGGTTACAGCTTGAGCAAAGGATTTTGGTGCACGTGCGTTTGAAGAGCCTGCCACGGCTTGGGCAAAGGACCGAGGCATAACTTGAGGCCCCGCCTTGTTCACCACGGGAGGAGCAGCCACTAGTTTCTGGGAAGGCACACCTGGCTTTTCTTTGGCTTGATTCAAAATAGGGGCAAAGGACACCCCTTTCTCACCTTTCTCTGCCCCTTGCCGGATATGAGATGAATGGGAAACATGCATGGGAGGGACGTGCGCTGTAGGGGCTGCCATGCATGCATGGCTAGGACCAGCGCCCAAAATGCTTGGTAAGGCATTGAAACCCAATACTGGAGCATCTATAGCAGTATCTTGGGTCTCAACTACCTGCACATGCCGTGCTTCTTTCTCCTGGGCAATGCGTGCCTTACGTTCATGAGGAAGCTCCAAATTGAGAGGTTGAAACAGATGGGGTGTTGTGATTGGACGTAAAGGCAAATCCTCCACTGGACCCTCACCATAAGCAGACCCATCTGGTCCCATAATTGCAAGAAAAATAGCTCCTTGTACATTATAACTCTTGTATTTATTAAAGGAGGGTAAGGGAATATGCAGCAGTGCAAATTCAGAGTCCACTAAACCTTTTAGCTCAGCACCATCAATTTCTTTCCAGTTGAGATGAGAGAATGCAGCAAGGGGAACTTTAATCTTAACGTAATCTGTCAAAATGCTCAAGTTTTCTGTTGGAGCATTTGTGCAAACAACTGGTGTGCATTGAGAAGAATACTCTTCCCCCACTTTCGTGCCACTGTGCACGTTCAATACCTGCTGTAGGGCCATATTAGAAGTGAGAGGGCCTGGAGGAACACCCTGAGACAGTTGCACAACCGGGGAAAAAGAACGGGGCAGTTGTGAAGCCATTATCGCCGAGGTATGGTCACCAACATTGATCCCAGAGTTGCAGGTCACCAAAATTGATGGGGAATGGCTCAATGAACTCGTATGGACCTGAGGAAGGTCATGGGATACCTGCGCGACTCCATTGTGGCCTGGAATCAAAGAAGAGGAGGGCAACCCGACAAGAAGACCCGCCATGGTCGTCACGCTGTTGCACCCCATTCCAGCACTTGATGGAGCTGCAAAAGTGCTTGATGGAATCGTCTGAGGCTGAGGAGGAACCTGGGAGAGGAAGGAGACACCACCATAGCTTGTGGACGCCGGAAAAAATGTTGCGGCGGAAGTGGGCTGTGTGGCTGCGATCTGTGGGTTGCCGGCAGCAGCACTAGTCGTGTTTGGTACCAAACTGATCGCCGGAGGATCAGGAGGGCGTTGGGGCAGGTCCGGTGGCCGTTGGCCGGCCATATTGGCCGGAATTGATGAATCGCCGATGTGCAAGGTGAATCGCCGAAATTGCCAGGGGGAGAGCTCGCGCGGGTTTGGGTTTTGGGTTTAGGGTTTAGGGTTTAGGGGTTTTTTTTTAAAAGAAAAAGCAGTTTTATTCGCATAAATAAAAGAGTCTTGGTGGAAGGAACAAATCTCCAACTCACCAGAAAAAATGCAGTAATAAAATAAAATAAAGACTAAGACAGCAGAATAAATATAACAATGAAGAAGAGCCGGCTGTCAAAACCAAAGGACCAGGTAGCAGAAATGATAGAACACAAAAGCAGTGCCGACTACCCAGTCCAGCCTACCGGGAAAGTAAATCAGCCCAAGAACCGCTCCTCATAATCACGGTATCTCGAGCGTGTCTTCCTGTAGTTCCGCGCCGGGGACAACCTAGCCGCCTCTAGGTCCCGCTGAAAAGGCTGAAGATCATTCCCATAATATCCAAGTTTGGATTTGGGCTCAAATTTATATTTAATGTCTTCCTGCTCCTCTTCCCAGATCAAGTCATCCTCGTCCTCATCTGAAAGGTCGGAATCCTCACCGTACCTACGACCATCACAATGATAGCGGACGACATCCACATCCTCGTGCGAAGGACCAGGATCCAGACAGTACGAAGGATAGTGGACACCAAAATCCCTATTCGATGGGATGGTGTTGGCCGAACGATTCAAAGTGCAGACCAGGGGAGTACGGGCTGCAGGAGTACAGGGGGTTTTCTCCCTCCTCCTCCCTAAATCAATATCAGTAGAAGCAAAGGGGAGGGCGGAGGAATCAAACTCAAGATCTTCAGCAGGCTCCTCAGGCTCGTCAGATGTGTCTAGCAATTTCAATTCCTCCGAAGTGGGAGGTCGAGAACCTTTGCCGGATTTTACCTGCCAATCAGAAGTGGGTTTTGAAGATGGAGTGTGTGGGTTTTTGGGTTTGGGAGATGGGATTGGATTCGGGATAAAAGGAGGAGACTGTGGGTTAAGGGTTGTGGGCTTGGGTTGGATCGGATTTGGGGATGGGCCAAGGGAAATGGGGTTTGGGGTCGGTATGGGCAGAGGATTGGGGTTCGGCAGAGGTTGGGCCGTGGGGGCCGAAGGGGTAGGAGTGTGGGCCGAAATTGTGGGCTGTGAGGGTTTGGGTGTGGGCTTCGGGAAGGGGGTTGGGGCCATGGGCGGGATGGGTGGGTCCGGTTGTGGAGGGTTTGGGTTTTGGGCTACGAGAGAGGTGGGCTTTGGGGGAATTGGGTTGGGGGATGAGGGCCGCTGGTCTGAAGGGGAAGTGTGGGCCGAAGGAAGTGAGGTGGGATGGGCCAGCGGACTGGATTCAGGCTTAGGAGAATTCGGCTTTTGGATGGGAGGTTTAGGATTTTGGGTTTTGGGAATTTGAGGAGTTTGGGTTTGGGGAATTTTGGGCCGAAATATGGGCTTTGGATTTTGGGAGGGGATTTGAACTTTGGATTTTTGTACTTTTGGTTCTTGGGTTTTGGGTTTGGGCTTGGGTAAGGGAACTCGAGGTTGGTTTTGGGCTTCTGATTGGGAATCCTGGGCCTTAAGCTTGCAGCGCTCCGAAGAATGGCCTTGCCTCCAACAGTAATCACAATAATAAGGAAGCCTCTCATACACCACTGATTGGACAAAACCACAATCTTCATTACCCACTACTTCAGAAATACCCACAAAAATCTCTTTCAGCAAAGGCTTAAGCAGATCAACCTCAACGCATACCCGTGCCACGTGAGGCTTCTCCCTTGCAAGAGTGACTTTATCTACGCCCAATAATTTTCCAATGGGCTTACAGATCAGGGACAACGCAAGGGAAATTGAACATATGAAGAGGGAGACCATAAAAAAGAATTCAAGCAGGTGCAAGTGAGGTCTCAACCTCCGGATCAAAATCAGGTGTCCATCTAAATAAACGCATCGGATAATCCCCAGTGAAAAATATTGAGCCTTCAAGAAGCATATTGGTGCAATCATGGGAGTTGGAAAACATAATAAATACATGCTTGGAATCACGCCAACCCACAGAAACAGATCCACAAAACACATAATTAGTAGCAAAGTGAGCTTTAATTACCTCCAACTTAGGTTGCCCATGAGAAAATTTTCCGACCAGAATATACTTGTAATTGAGAGCTAAGTCACTGACCTCAGATTCATAGAACCTCACAGCGGGCAAACCACGATGAATAGTGACCTCACGATCCGGAAGTGGCTCCGTAACAAAGGTAGGAAGAGAAATGCGTTTCGATCCGGAAACCACCTAAGCGAGGCTGGGAGCTGGTTTTTTGGCATCAACAAGAGGAACAGAAGGTTCCGGTTTTTCCCCGGTGGCCGGCGCCGCCGCCGCCGGCGGAGCTCCGGCGGCCGTTGCCGGAAAAGTGATCGGAGCCGAATTTGATGAGACCAACGCCAATGGATTCGTCTTGATGCGTGGATCACGATTATGCAACTCATTCTTCCCAATTTTGGCTGGAACTCGTCGAATTGAAGGATTTATGCTCGGAAAAACCCTAACTTTGGAAAATTGGGGATTTTCAAATTCGCCATCCAAATGCCCAATTGATGATTCCACAAGGTGCGTAGGGTTGTCAGGAGCATGTGGAGGTACCTGCGCGACGCCAATTCCACCGGAGATGGCCGGAATTAGCCCAAACCCGCCGGAAACCGCCGGTTTGACCTGCGACGGCGATCCAGCGTTTCCGGCAACCAAAAAGGCTGGGGCTGGTCGCAATGGACTCGTAATGATGTCAGGAGTGGACTGGGAGCATTTTGGAGTATCGCCGCTGCTTGTGGTGGCCGGAAAAAGGTGCGCCGTAGATGGAAGGTCGCCACCTTCGATTTGGCGTTTTCTGGCAGCTTTCCCGGCGATGTCAGGGTGCTCTGTGATCGTTGTGATGTCAGGAGGATGATGGTGGGGTAGCGGTGGCCGATCGCCGGCCATGGTGGCCGGAATTTGCAAATCGCCCCAAAGGGGCAAAAATCGCCTAGAGAGAGAGAGAGCCGAGCCGCGGGTTTAGGGTTTAGGGTTTAGGGTTTTTTTTTAAAAAAGCAGTTTTATTCGCATAAATAAAGAGTTTTGGTGGAAGGAACAAGTCTCCAACTCACCGGAAAAGAAATGCAATAAAAATAAATAAATACAGACTAAGAAAGCAGAAAAAATATAACGACTAAGTAGAGCCAACTGTCAAAGCCAAAGGACTAGGCAGCAGAAAAGATCTAACGCGAAAGCAGTGCCGACTACCCAGTCCAGCCTCGCAGGAAAGTAAATCAGCCCAAGAACCGCTCCTCAAAATCACGATATCTCGAGCGCGTCTTCCTGAAATTCCGCGGCGGGGACAACCCAGCCGCCTCTAGGTCCCGCTGAAAAGGCTCAAGGTTGGGCCCATAGTACCCAACATTGGACTTGGGCCCAAAATCATAACGAATATCTTCCTGCTCCTCCTCCCAGATCAAGTCATCCTCATCCTCATCTGAAGGGGGATAGGAATCCTCACCGTACCTACGACCATCACAGTGATAGCGGATGTCATGCGGATCCTCGTACGAAGGACCGGGATCCTGACAGTAAGAAGGACGGGCATAAAAGTCCCTATTCGAAGGGGTGGTGTTGGCCGAGCGGTTCAAAGTGCAGATCAGGGGAGTACGGGCCGCAGGTGTAAATGGGGTTTTCTCCCTCTTCCTCCCTAAATCAATATCAGTAGAAGCAAAGGGGAGGGCGGAGGCATCAAACTCGAGATCTTCAGCAGGCTCATCAGGCTCGTCAGATGTCTCTATCAATTTCAACTCCTCCGAAGTAGGAGGTCGAGAACCTTTGCCGGATTTTACCTGCCAATCAGAAGTGGATTTTGAAAGTGGAGTGCTTGGGTTATCGGGTTTGGGAGATGGGAATGGATTTGGGATAAAAGGTGGAGATTGCGGGTTAAGGATTGTGGACTTGGGGTGGATCGGGTTGGGCTGAGGGGATGGGCCAAGGGAAATGGGGTTTGGGGTTGGGGACGGTGTAGGCTGAGGGTTCGGCAGGGATTGGGGTTGGGCCGTAGGGGCCGTAGGGGTTGTGGGTTGGGTAGGGATATGGGCCGTGGGAATGGGGTTGGGCTTGGGTGAAGTGGGCGGGGAGTTGGCCTGCGGGTTAGGTGAAGCGGGCTTCGGCTGGGTAGGCAATGGGCTTGGGGTTGGGATAGGGGTTGTGGGATTGGGATTGGGGTTTGGTTGGGTAGGATTTTGAGGGATCGGATTTGGGGAGGGGGTATGGGTCTTGGGCTTAGGTTGATAGCGTGGGGGTTTCGGGTTAGTGGGCTTAGGAATTAAAGTGGGTTGGGGATTGGGTTTTGGCTTTTTAGGTAATGGGGCTTGGGTTTTGGGTAGTGAAACGGGTGGGTTTTGGTTTTTGGGTTGGGTTTTGGGTGTAGGAATGGGATTTTGGGCCTTTTGTTATTGGACTTCTGGTTGGGGATTTTGAACTTTGAATTTGCACCTGTCCAGAGAATGGCCTTGCTTCCAGCAGTACTCACAATAATAAGGAACCCTTTCATACACAACTGACTGAACAAAGCCACAATCTTCATTACCCACAACTTCAGAAATACCCACAAAGATCTCTTTAAGCAAGGGCTGAAGAAGATCAACCTCAACGCAGACACGTGCCACATGAGGTTTCTCCCGAGCCAGAGTGACCTTATCAACCCCCAATTATTTTCCCAGAGGCTTACAAATCAAGGACAGTGCATGAAAATTGAACATATGAAGAGGGAGACCATACAAAAGAATCCAAGCCGGTGCAAGTGATGTCTCAACCTCAGGATCAAAATCAGGTGTCCATCTAAACAAACGCATGGGATAGTCCCCAGGGAAAAATATGGTGCCTTCCAATAACAAATTTGTGCAATCATGGGAGTTGGAACACATAATAAAAACATGCTTTGAATCACGCCAACCCACAGAAACAGATCCACGAAACACATAATTAGTAGCAAAGTGGTTTTTGATTACCTCCAACTTAGGTTGCCTGTGAGAAAATTTGCCAACCAAAATATACTTGTCAATGAGAGCTAAGTCACTGACCTCAGCTTCATTGAACCTCACTGCGGGCATGCCTCGATGAACAGTAACCTCGCGTTCGGGAAACGGCTCCGTCACAAAAGTTGGAAGGGAATTGCGCTTGGATGCTGAAATCACTTGGGAAAGGCTTGGAACTGGTTTCCTGGAAAAAGGAGGCTGAGTTGAATTTTCTGGAATTTTTCCGGTAGTCTGGGCCGCCGCCGCCGTCGCCGGAGCTCCGGCGACCGTCGCCGGAAAATCCGCCGGAGCCAAAACGGACGGAGCCAACGTCATTCGAACTGGTTTTTCATGAGGATCACGAATATGAAATCCTTTTTGCCCAATTTGTCCTTGAACACGTCGAATTGAAGAGTTTGTGTTTGGAAAAACCCTAACCTCCGATTCTTGGGGTTTGTTCAATCCGGCTTCAATTGCTGAAATTGATGGACCAGGGACGTTCGTAGCTGTGCCAGGGATGTTGCTGAGGGGTTGCGCAACCTTGGGCTCGCCGGAGGTGGCCGGAAAATGGAAAGACCCGATGGTGAACGGCGGAGCGGGTAATGCCGGCGATCTGGCGTTTCCGACGTCCAATTGCTGCGATTCCGGTGGCGTTGAACTCGCAAGGACGTCAGGAACCTTCGTGGACTGGTTTGGGGGCTTGCCGCTGCACGTGGTGGCCGGAACGAAGTGCGAAACCTGGGCGGCGGCGTGGGGATCGACCTGGCAGTTTCCGGCAGCAACAGCGACGATCCATGGGTGCTTTGGAATCGTCTCGACGTCAGGAAGAGATTGGTGGGTGTCCGGCGGCCTAACGCTGGCCATAGTGGCCGGAAATTGCAAATCGCCCAAAGGGGGCGATCGCCTAGAGAGAGAGAGGGGCGCGCGCGGTGGGTTTGGGTTTTGGGGTTTTTTTTATTTTTTAAATGCATTTTATTAAATAATCAAAGAATACAAACGTCTGAACAAGCGGGAACAGGCTCCTCACTTGTATAAAAAGTAAGCAACAACCGAAGAAACTAAAATGTGAAGCGCTTATCGGATAAGGGAACATAGACTTAAGTGCAATTACAAAGCCGGCTCGGAACACCACTTAGATCTAGGAATAAAATCATTCCCGGAGCCCCAACCCCCGCAAGGGTAAGGCCTAAGGTCAGATAATCCGATCAAGAAAATGTTCTAAGCCAAGAAATGCAATCGACATAAGTCCAGTCAAAATCCAGAAAAGNAAGCGGGAACAGGCTCCTCACTTGTATAAAAAGTAAGCAACAACCGAAGAAACTAAAATGTGAAGCGCTTATCGGATAAGGGAACATAGACTTAAGTGCAATTACAAAGCCGGCTCGGAACACCACTTAGATCTAGGAATAAAATCATTCCCGGAGCCCCAACCCCCGCAAGGGTAAGGCCTAAGGTCAGATAATCCGATCAAGAAAATGTTCTAAGCCAAGAAATGCAATCGACATAAGTCCAGTCAAAATCCAGAAAAGCCCAACTAAAGAAAGAAAAATAAAGTGTGCAAAAATAATCCAAGTAAGCCAAGGATGAGCCCAAAATCCAAACCAAGAGAGTCCAAGAGCAGCCCAATCCAACTCGACCCAATCCAATGATGAAGTCCAAGTCCATGTATGTTGTGCAAGGAGTCCAAATCCCAACAAAGCCCAAGGTACCATGTGAAAAAGAACCATTATGAAAGTCCAAGTCCAAAGAGTAGAAGGCCCAACAAATGAAGCCCATATCAGAAGTCCAAATCAGCCCAACCAATGAAGCCTGCCACTATCCAAGCCCAAAGCAACCAGTCCGCCAAGCAGTCCAGCCCAGCAGCCACGGCCCAAAGCTAGGCCATAGTAGCCCAAGCCCAGCCGAAACCCATAGATCTGCCGAAATGGCCCAAACCAAGAAGTAATCCAGCCATAAAATCCAAATCCAACAGTGTGTGAAGTCCAATGAAGTCCAACGATCCAGCATGATGAGGATGCCCAGAAAGATAGATCCAAGAAAAGAATCCCAGAGGATAGAAGAAAGAAAAGAAAAGAGGTACCACTATGGGTCAGTGGCCAACCCTTAGCCCATTACCGCCGGCAGATAGCGGGTGCTCTAACCTCACGCGCAAGCACTGACGCAGGCGAAAGAAACCTCGCCGGGCCCCACCCAGCCTCCCGACGAGGGCACTGATTTGATGACGGTACCACGCATACGCACTTTCCGTGTGCGCCACGAGTGCTCAAATCCTCAATCCGCGAGCACCGACGGGCATCCTTTACCGCGGACGCGTACGTGCGCCTTTTGACCGCAGTCCACATGGTATTCTGAGTCCTAAAATTCCACCATAGCTTAGCCGAACAAGCCTTGGCTAAAGTGGTGAGATCCAAAAACCCAACACCACCCTCCCCCCACGGCAAAGCTAGGGTCTTCCACGAACCCCAATGATAGCGACGCTCTCCACCCATACCGGACCAGAAAAAACGTGTCATGATCGCCTCCATCTCCCGAATCACCAACTTGGGCGGAAAATGCGCTGCAAAGAGATGCGTAGGAATGGCCTGAAGGACACTCTTAATCATAATGGCCTTCCCCCCTGGAGAAAGATAACGCCCCATCCATGCAGAACACTTATCTCGCATCTTCTTCAAAAGCGGCTCGAAGTAATGTATGCGCTTCCTACCATGATAGATGGGGCAACCCAAATATGTAAAGGGAAGAACATCCTGAGCACAACCAAGAATATCACGAACTCGATCAAGGACCTGCGCCTGGGCTCTAGGATGCATATAAAAAGCACTCTTTGGAAAGCTAATGGCCTGCCCCGACATCTGCTCATAGCCATGCAAGACATCCCGCACCCGCTCCAAAGTATCACCCCGTGCTGAGGTAAAAATGACAACATCATCAGCATATGCAAGGTGGTGAATATGAGGTGCATCCCTAGGCTGCGTAAATCTGGGAATCATCGGATCCGAATACAATCGTGCCAAAGACAAAGATAGGACCTCAGCGGACAAAATAAATAAGGACGGGGAGAGTGGGTCGCCCTGATATAATTCTTAAAAAAATAATTCTTAAAAAAAAGAAGAAGAAAAAGAAGAAGAAAAAGAAGAAGAAAAGTTTCTCTTCTTTTTCTTTACATGTAATAGGTTATTAAACCAGCATATGAGATCCCCAAAATTTGTCAGGTCTTCTAAATCCCAAAGACCCTTTGAACAATACCTCTGTTGAACTATCCCCTCTACTAACCCTTTGAATTGTTTTCAGAGACGTTATATGAATCAGGAGTGATTGAAGCCAACCATAAACCAGGAAAAAGAGTATCAAGTTGTTTCTGAACACATTTGGCTCTCTTCTTCGGCCTCCTTGCGGGCTTTAATCCAGTCAGGGAAAAAATATCTTCTGCAATCTCTTCCTTTGTGAGTGCAATGGAAAACCTCCGCCTCTTCTCCTTCTTCTCTGCGCAGTGAACATCGGCATCCGGTCTGATTGGAGTCCGGTGAGGCGACTGAGTCGTGTCCTCTATGGTGGCCGACGGCCCCCCTGCTTTGAACTGGACGCCGTTCAAATTCAGTGACTTGTGTATCGGCTTCCTTGGCCTCAGATTCCAAATCTTTTGGACTGGCTCTTCGGATGCTTCCTGAACTGCATCTGCGCCGGATTTCCCCTCCTCTGGAACCTCTTCGCCCTTTGGCTCCTCCTGAATCTCATCGCCCCTGTTTTTCCGAGGGAGCTTCAGAATTAATTTCGATCTGCCATCTTTCTGGCCAATCCCGTCCATCTCTGCAGCGAAACTCCTCTTACTCGATTCACTAGCAGAATCGCGCATCTGTGACTGGCGATCTCGCTCCCGCATCGGAGACTGGCGGCGGACCAGCATCGGCGTCACGGATTCGAAATCCGGAGACCGGACTCGGTGTATGAGTGGCGACTGAGACTGCCGCAGAGGGGAAGCGACCCGGGACGGAGAAGCCGCCGATTCCAAGTGCTTGGCGGAGCGGCCGCGGTGGTGATTATTGGAATGGTGGTTCTTCTTCCACTTCAAGTGCGAGGCAAAGTTGTGAAGCGGCTGAGACTTGGCCGGAACAGTAGACGTCATGATTTCTCGCCAGAAACACTTAGCTTCACCGTCCACTACTCAAATCAAAACAAAAAAAAAACAGAGAAAAAAGATGGATTCTTTACCACAAATCAATCACAGAGATTCGAACGAACCATCATCACAGAGAAAATAAAACCCGATCGCAACCATATGCATCTGTTGATGAATGCGAAATGGAAAGGCCGTGATTCAATTCCTCCCAAGAATCGATGAACAGAAACCCTAGAGAGAGGGAGAGGGGTTGGAGAATGTGATGAAGTGAAAGAGGAAGAAGGAATTGAAGAGAGGCTTAATAAGGAGAATTGAATGGGGGAGAAAGGGAAGTGGATATCAAGATGCACCACCCTGGGTTTAGGGTTTAGGTTTTAGGGTTTAGGGTTTAGGGTTTAGGGATTAGGGTTTAGAGTTTAGGGTTTAGGGTTTAGGGTTTGGGGGTTAGGGTTTGGGGTTTGGGGTTTTTTTTTTTTGGGTTTGGGGTTTGGGGTTTGGGGGTTAGGGTTTAGGGTTTAGGGTTTTTTTTATTTTATTTTGCAAGGGCTGAAGAAGATCAACCTCAACGCAGACACGCGCTACATGAGGTTTCTCCCGAGCCAGAGTGACCTTATCAACTCCCAATAATTTTCCCAGGGGCTTACAAATTAAGGACAATGCATGAAAATTAAACATATGTAGAGGGAGACCATAAAAAAGAATCCAAGCCGGTGCAAGTGATGTCTCAACCTCAAGATCAAAATCAGGTGTCCATCTAAACAAACACATGGGATAATCCCTAGGGAAAAATATTGTGCCTTCAAGTAACAAGTTTGTGCAATCATGGGAGTTGGAACACATAATAAAAACATGCTTTGAATCACGCCAACCCACAGAGACAGATCCACGAAACACGTAATTAGTAGCAAAGTGTTTTTTGATTACGTCCAACTTAGGTTGCCCATGAGAAAACTTGCCAACCAAAATATACTTGTCAATGAGAGCTAAGTCACTAACCTCAGCCTCATTGAACCTCACTGCAGGCATGCCTCGATGAACGGTAACCTCACGATCGGGAAGCAGCTCCGTCACAAAAGTAGGAATGGAAATTCTTTTGGAACGCGCAATCACCTGGGAAAGACTGGGATTCTGTTTTTTGGAATGAGGGAGCGGTGCTGAAGATTCTGGAATTTTCCCGACAGTCAGCGCCGCCTCCGCCGCCGCCGCCGTCGCCGGAGCTCCGGCCGCCGTCGCCGGAAAATCCGCCGGAGCCAAAATGGACGGGGCCAACGCCATTCGAACCGAGTTTTCACGAGGATCTCGATTCTCCAATCCTTTTTTCCCAATTTGCCCTGAAACACTTCGAATTGAGGTTTTTGGGTGCGGAAAAACCCTAAATTCCGAAGATTGGGGCTTTTGCAATCCAGCTTCAATTCCTGCAATTGATGACTCAAGGACGATCGAATGGACTCCAGGAACATTGCTAGAGGGTTGCGCGACCTTAAATTCACCGGAGGTCGCCGGAAAATGCAGCGACCCAATTGTGAACGGCGGGTCGGCTGGGAACGGCGATCTGGCGACTCCGACGTCCAAATGCTGCAATTCCGGTGGCGATGAACTCGTAGGGACGTCAGGAGCCTTCGATGATGGAATTGGGAGCTTGCCGCTGCCTGTGGTGGCCGGAAAAAATGGGTAAACCTGGGCGACGGCGTCAACTTCGGCCTGGCGGTTTCCGGCAGCGATGGGGCTGATGTTTGGGTGGGTTGGGTGCGCCTTGACGTCAGGAGGACGATGGTGGGTGTCCGGCGGCCCATCGCCGGCCATGGCTGCCGGAAAAAGCAGATCGCCCCTAGGGGCCGAATCGCCGAGAGAGAGAGGTGGCGCGAGATTGGGTTTTGGGTTTAGGGTTCAGGGTTTAGGGTATTTTTTAAAGATAAAGCAGTTTTATTCGCATAAATAAAGGAGTCTTGGTGGAAGGAACAAATCTCCAACTCACCAGAAAAAATGCAGTAATAAAATAAAATAAAGACTAAGACAGTAGAATAAATATAACAATGAAGAAGAGCCGGCTGTCAAAGCCAAAGGACCAGGTAGCAGAAATGATAGAACAGAAAAGCAGTGCCGACTACCCAGCCCAGCCTTCCGGGAAAGTAAATTAGCCCAAGAACCGCTCCTCATAATCACGGTATCTCGAGCGTGTCTTCCTGTAGTTCCGCGGCGGGGACAACCCAGCCGCCTCTAGGTCCCGCTGAAAAGGCTGAAGATCATTCCCATAATATCCAACTTTGGATTTGGGCTCAAATTTATATTTAATGTCTTCCTGCTCCTCTTCCCAGATCAAGTCATCCTCGTCCTCATCTGAAAGGTCGGAATCCTCACCGTACCTACAACCATCACAATGATAGCGGACGACATCCACATCCTCGTGCGAAGGACCAGGATCCAGACAGTACGAAGGATAGTGGACACCAAAATCCCTATTCGATGGGATGGTGTTGGCCGAACGATTCAAAGTGCAGACCAGGGGAGTACGGGCCGCAGGAGTACGGGGGGTTTTCTCCCTCCTCCTCCCTAAATCAATATCAGTAGAAGCAAAGGGGAGGGCGGAGGCATCAAACTCAAGATCTTCAGCAAGCTCGTCAGATGTCTCTAGCAATTTCAATTCCTCCGAAGTGGGAGGTCGAGAACCTTTGCCGGATTTTACCTGCCAATCAGAAGTGGGTTT